GAGTGGTCAGGCCAGGGTAATGTTTGATAATATGAAGGAGGGCAATGCTCAGGTGCAAACAAGGATTCCAGACAGAGGTAACAGGAACAGCAAGTAGGAAGACCCTAAGGTGGGAATAAGGTTAGCACATTTGAGGAAAAGCTAAAAGCCAGAGTCTGCAAAAGAATAAACAATAAGAGATGTGGCTAAAGAGGAGGCAGAAGTAGGCCATGTAGGTTGAATTTTTGATATATTTTACTCTCAGTGACATGCAAAGCCATTGGAAGCTTTTGGGCAGAGGAATAATGTCCTGGTTTAGGCTTCAGAAATATCACTTTGCCTTCTGTGTAGAAAAAATGAATTGGTAGGGAAGAGAAAAGTAGAAGAAGAGACACCAGTTAGGAGGCTTTTTAAGTAGTATATGCCAGAGATGAAGTGCCTTGGATTAGGATGGCAGCTACGGAAATGGTTTGAAGGTAGAACCAATGGGAGTTGATGATAGGTTGAATGTGGGTATACAGGATACTGAGGAATCAAGAAAAGCTCCTAGCTTGGGGACTGACCAACTGGGGTCAAGGGTGATACTTTTTACTAAGATAGGAAAGGCTGGGGCAGGGGAAGGTTTGGGGAGAGTAAAGTCAAGTGTTCTGTTTTAGATAGGTCATTCTGACATGCCTACTGAATATTCTACTGAAGAATACCAAGTGGACAGATATAAGAGAGTAAAGCTAGAGAAAAGATTAGGATTAGATATAATCCTATAATATTCAGGTGTCATCAACACATACATCGTAATTAAACCCACTGGATGAAATGATGCCATCAAGTAAGAGAAGGCATACTGAGAAGAAAAGACAACTGAGGACTAACTCCTAGGCTCTTCAATATTTAAAGGTAAAAAAGACAAAAAGCAGCAAGGAGCATGTGAAAGAAGTAATCTGCAAGACAAGGGAAACATTAAAAGAATATAGTTTCCTAGAAACCAGGATTAAGGAAGTGCTCATCCCTATCAATTGATGCTGAAAAGCTGAATAAGGTGAGAACTAATAACTTTCCTCTGAATAGTACAAGATGGAATTACCAATGAAACTGATAAAACAATTTCAATGGAGTAGTAGAAAAGAAAGTCTAATTGGGATGGGTTGAAAAGAAAAGGGGAGTTGAGAAGTGAAGATGGTAAAAGTACAGAAAATAATTATCTACTACCTGTCAGATGCTTGAGATATCTCAGCAGGCAAAAATACAAAAATCTAATTCTTCATAGTGCTTATATTCTAGCAAAGGGAATAAGACAATGAACAATAAAAATAAGTAAATTATATAATATGTTAGAAGGTGATTGTGCTACAAAAAGGAAGCACAATTTTTAGTTGTGAACTTTTGAGAAGGATATAAAACAACCACCTGTAACAGAGGAAAGGGACTAGGTGAGACTTAGAAAGTCAGCATAATAGGGTGTTTTACTTTAGTCAAGTTCAGCTGTTCCAGGGTAAGTGTGTAAGATATTGAGAATAGGGTTAAAACATAGATAAGGTTCTGACAAGCAAATATGACAAAGGAAAAGAGAAGCAAGGGAGTTAAAATTTTACAGAAAGATGATTACAGCGATTGAGCACAGTATCTAAACTGAGTAAGGAGAGACGTGAAGTCGTAAGACAGTAACAGTGAGAAGTGGTATGGTCAATAGATTGGGGGTTGCAAGGAGGTTAAAAAAAATACTGGGATGCCTACTGAAATAAAATGGTAGTAGAAATAGGGATGGTTGAAATTATTTTTGTGAGGTGGCAAAGGTCTAGGGATGATGATGGGAAAGGTGGTTGGAGTGGAATGGAGGAAAAGATCATTGGAAATGAAGAGGTCAAGTAACTGAGAGGCCAGAATGTAGAACGTAACAGTTACATAGAACTTGAAGTCACCAAGAACTAAGATGGGAGGAAGAAAGTGAAAAGGCTGGTAGAGGTGTGCAACATGATAATATGGATGGAATATTTAGATATTCCAAACAAGCTCAGGGTTTGGAGTAAGGATGGCAAATAAATGATTGGAAAGCAGCTATAAAGATCTCAGGAAGTTGCTTGTTAATTTTATCACCCCCATATTACATAAAGCAAGGAATTAAAAACATCCAGCAAGGGAAAGGTCTACAAAAGCATCTTTTATGAATATATAGGTTTCACTTAAAGCAGTAAAGTAAAGGGAACATTAAAAGAAAAGACTGAGGATATAGGGGATTGCTGATGAAAGACCACAAGTTCCAGAAAACACAGTGGAGAAAATTTGGGTGCTTGTAAAGGTGTAAATGACTGGGTCAAATTAGAGATTAAAAAAGACAAAAGGAGATAAGAATCCATGTGATGATGAATGAATGACCTGATAGTCGGCCTTTAATTCCTGCTACGGATGGTGTTGCAGGCAGAAAGGTGATTTTAACAGAAATGCTTAAAATCTTAAATACAGTTATAATTTTAAGTGTGTTCTTAGAATTTTATTCATATCCTCTACACGGCAAAATAAGAAAAATCTTTTCAAGGATACCTCTGGATTGTGGCTCATAATGGTATGTGGATTATTTTATGACACTAACATACAGTTCCCTAAGAGTTCTAAAAAGGCAGCCCACATATAAAGAAAAAGTCAATGTATGACCACGTGTTATCACAAAGGCACATTTGTATAAGAAATGCTTAGGGCCTGAATGAATCAGGTCAAATTTACATAGTCATTCTAGGATACCTGCATTTAGAGAAAAGCAATCTAAAAGATTAACACTCCTGTTTCTAAGAAGTCAAATGTTTTAGTATCAGTCATAATCCAATTAATTAATAAGCAGTATTAATATTTATTTCATGCAGTATTATAGAGCTTAAAAATTAAAAGTTTAAAAGGAAAAGGATCTGTGTTCAAAAGAGCCATGAAAAACTTTATATAAAACCTAGCTAACAATTAATTTAAGGGGGAAAGGTTGGTTAATAGCAGCTTTCAACTATATATCAAGGTCTTCGAAAAGAAAAGGCCAGAATAGTAGTTACATGAATGCTCAATGTGTGTGTGGGGGGGGTAAAAGATAAAGTAGGAAAAACATTATATTTTGATGAAGGAAGGCTTTATTTTGTTATATACACTTAGCAGTATGATTCATTCAGCTACAACGTGCATACTATCTGTCCAATTTAGTCAAGTAGCCTTCTTTAACTGACAAATAAAAGATGAGATATCTTCCTGAATCATAAGCCAGTGATTTACACTGCTTCAGGTAATCAGAGAATGTGAAGCCAAAGTCAAAACAGTTTAGTTCATATCCTATGGGGACAGCTTCAGAAAAGGCATTTTATATCTATATGCCTATGTTTACCCACATTTCAAAACAAATAAACTGACTGATATTCAGGCTATACACAGTAATAAACTTAAGTACAAAGTAGGAAAAGATAAACAATACATACACGCTAAATAATTTTCTTCTTCAAATAAAACAAATAAGTACTAATACCACTGAATACGTAGAGAAACTGGAAGATATATGGACAGTTTATCTTAGTACTCATTTATTCATTCAAAAATATTTACTGAAGATCTAAGATGTGACAAGTACTATTCCAGATACCGAGGATTCTGCAATTAACAAAACAGAAGTCCCTACTATCATGGAGGTTTCATTCTACTCTAGCATTCTAGACAATTGTCTAGGTTAACCTCTAGAAGGAACTCAATTTTGAAACATTTCTAAAGTAAAGAATATACAAAATTAGTTAAAAGTTCGTCTCTGCACTAAAATATCCACTCCCCTGACTGTACTTACTCAACCCTACAGGAGTATTTTTGACTGGCTTCTAATTATAAGGGATAGTCCAAACTGTATTTAGATTAAGTAATAAGTTTTCTCCAATTATTAAATACTATAAGGGAACTAATCACTAAAGCTGTTCATGTTCATATAAAGCAAAGATGGAATGCTCTGTATGTCTCATAGGTCCTCTCTAGCCTGCCTAATTCAATTAAAATAATCCTAATTCTAGGCTGCGAAGTAGTAGAGAACAGGAATGATTTTCTACTTAATACTTAGAATCTAAGTGTTCCTCACATAGAAAATCTTTGACCTTTTAAAATTCCTTCCAAGGATTCAAACGTTCACAACACAAAACTTCTCTGAGCTTCATTATCTCAGTCTGTTAAAGTGATAACAAGAGTACCTATCTCTTAACAGTGTTTTGGGATTAAATGAGGTAAGTCACAAAACGGACTTAGTGTTCAATCATAATTGATGACATCAACCATCTTAATTATCCTAAGTGTGAGTTCTCAATAACAGCAGCTTACATCATCAACTTCCATAAAACTATAGTTAAGAAAGATAATAAACAAGCTACAATTGGGATAGTAGAAGATTTCTCTATGTTTTGGCAAGATGATCACATGCTATGCTCCTCAAACTAAGCAACAGATTTAAAGTATCAGTAATACTAATGTTATTAATATGCAGCATTCCTATAAATGACTGAGTTTGAGAAATTTTCAGGAATCAAATAAAAACTTCACTAACAAGATGCTTTATTAGTATTTTATTTGCTTCCGAATACTCGGAATTTCCTATCTTTAAAAACACATTTTTTGCCTTTTATTTCAAAGTAAAGTTAAAAGAACTTACTAAATAAATAAACAAATACACAAACAAAGGAGTTAAAACCATTTAAAAGATACTGTTATTATCTTCTAGTCTCATCCTGGTCAGACCATATTGGAAATCTCGAAAATGATTTCATTCAAAGAAATTAAAAACAAACAACAGAAACAAAACCAAGTAAACAAGTAGAAAAGTCCTTATGTTTAATTAAATCTGGAAAGTGATGAGGGACTACAAATAAAGAAATTAACAAAGATAAAAATACTGAAGACCTGAAGTAAAGCAAAAATACTACTAATAAGAACCTTTCATTTAAAAACTCTGTGATCCTTCAAAGATCTTGAAGAAAACCAAAAAAATCCCCAAATGGAGAGGTCACTAAATATCCATGAACACTCACCCAACCATTGGTAGGAGACCTCTTGGAGACCCAGATGCTTGAATCAGCTGAAATAGTACCAAGTTTTTACTGATTACTCTTAACAGGGCAATGGAGCACAGGCTAACTCCATACTATCAAATACTAAAAGTCATTATTATTGATTAATTTATACCTACTACCATTACAAATTATTCAAAGGAGGAGGCGACTGGGTAAGTTCTAAGGTGAGTGAAACTTACTGCATGCATGTGTGTAAATGCATACATTTTCTCCAGCTCTCTTCGTGATGTAAGTCTGATAACATAATTCTTATAAATGTAAATATACAGACAGAATAAAATTTTCTAAGTTAATATAAAATTCTTAAAGAAATCATGTAAATAATTTTTATATTGGTTCATAAAGAAAATTTTAAGAAAACAATTTGTTTTTTAAAGATACTGCCAATTTCTCAATACTAAGTACTTTGGTAACACACAGGAAAAGATTTTCAGTCCCCTGCACTTAAAAAAATATATAGTTCTTAACTTTAGGCCTTTTAATATACTAATGGTTCTTCTCATCAGAGGATTTTCATATTTCAACACATAAAAGAACTCGTAACAGTAAGACTAAACAAAAGCTTCCTTTCTCAAAGGTGAGGACTATATTCAACATTATAGATTAAAACCTGTAAGTCATCTGTTTAACAGAAAATATCTGATGTTACCTAATTCAAAAGAGGAGTAAAAGCACTATCAATACTTAGATGAAAATACAGTAATGTTTTCCCCAATCTCAGGAAGCTGGGAGGTACAGTGATCCTCCCACCACCACCCTTCATTCCCCCTGCACATGACTTATTCCAAAGGTCTATGTGATAAAAATTAAGATACTTTACTACGGCGCAAATGGCCAAGAACAAAAAATGGAAGGGTCTATATTTCTGTATTTTTCTCAAGTAACTTAAGATATAAAAATAACTTCTGCCTGATACATGTGTATCAAGCAAGAAAACAAGTGAAAACAGTCCTCATTTGGATTTAATGTTTAGATAGACAGGAAGCAAAGAACAACACTGACATTGTAATGTCAAGTAAGCACATTCAAGCTATCAAAGAAACACTGAAATCTCAAGCCAGCAAATATACTACCAACCTGGCTGATAAATGATTTAACTGTTACATTTCTAAAAACAGCTTTGCAATATATTATATCTATCACTTATTGAACACAAAAGAACTTTTGAAGTCAGAAACAAAATAAGGAAGACCAGAAGCATATAAAATTTTCTTCTGCCTATAGTAGATTAAGAAAATAAAGTCAGGGAGAGATTTGAGAATAGAATGGTGAAAAGGAAAGCCTAATAGAAGACAGCTCTACAGTGATTGCAAATCCTAATGTCCCTAAAAATATGAAGAAAAACTAAGGACAAAGAAGGAAATAATCAAGAATGGAGTAGAGATTGACATATTAAAAACTTGTGTGAGAGAAAAATTCAAACATTTTAGATGTCTATTGCAAATTTTAAATGACAAAGTATATCAGTATTACCTTTCTTTCGAAAGAGTGCATTTAGGTAATTTTCTGCTTGGCATTCAATCTTTTCAGTGTTGGACTGGCCCTGAGATGATAGTTCCTCTGTTGGTGTCGACTGTGAAGAATCAAGAGATGGTATACAATCCTAAAATTAGAAGACAACAACATAAAAAAAATCACTTTTTATTTAAACATGGGACTCCATTTAAAATGGCAAAAAAATTCTGTTTTTTTTTAATATTTTAAATATGTCAAATTATATACAGAACATAAGATTTGAGAAAGGAGTCAGGAAAAAAGAAATTTATCTTTGATAGAGGGACAAACTAGCCTTATTCCTTAGCAAAACTATTGTCAAAAAGGGGGTGGGGGGCAGATAAAATATATTGTTAAATAAACTCACTATATAGCATGCCAGTAATGAGAGTTTTAAGAACAAAGCAGATATGTTTATCCACTAATCTGACCAAAATGGGTGCAAGTTCTCAAATTCCCATTTCTTCTCAGCCCTTCCCACAACAGTACATGAAGAATTAGGACTTCCCACCATGCAAGAAGATGCTGCTTGTCTAGTTTATGCCCTGTTTACAGTAGAAACTAATAATTAATCATTTCACAGGAGATAATTATGATATCCAAAAGACTTCATGAGAAAGTAAAAGGCTAAAACGTAGTACTACATTATCCTCCAACCACTGATTCCTAAGAAATCAGACTACAGGGTGGTCTCAGACCAAACTAGGCTCACCCGTGTCTACCTAAATACAAAACAGATCTGAACTGAACTTTATGAGTCAAAGAGCTTTAAGAAAGAAATGTGAAATGAGCAAAAAAGATGAGAATGTTGTTGGAATTTTTACCTGCAAGTTAAGCTAAATGTTAGACTTCTAACGTAAGACTTTAAAATATTCTTCTCATTACCAAAATCAAGTATTTAAATTTCACTGTAAGTCACAAATTCTCAGAACAAATTAAGTTTAAAAAATTGTGTTACAATTGTGCAATTAGTTTAGACATAATTTCATAGCACTAAAACTTACACTGACTGCTTCTCTCTGTAGGTTACAAAATGAACATTTTTCATCCATAGACCAGTCAGTCAGCTCTTCTGGTTCACAGTCTTCAAAAGAGGGAAAAATATTGATTAAATACACTAACTTTATTAAAACAAATAAAATTACCACTCGCCATAGCAATGGCTCATATAAAAAAGCTAGCTGCAATAGTAAGGGGAAAAGGCCCCCCCAAAATTAAACTGGTGACATCTAGAAAGAAATACGGAGAGTAATTTTACACTATTATCAGACAAAGTAGCAAGAACAATGAGCTGGTTATAAATTAATTTTCCAACAATAGAATTTTAAGTATCATCTAGCCTTCTGAAAGATTCAATTCATCATTGTCTATTAATTTTTATTTTCACTATGAAAGAAGTCAGAACAAACAGGGAGATATGGGGATAAAGGAATAAATTTTGCACATCATGAAAGACAACATAAAACAGAGAAATGGAATAAAGCACCAGAAAAGCCTACAGATTTGAGAATATGGAATGCTATCCAAGAAAAAAGTAGAAATCCACTGCTAAGAAGTCAGATCAGATTTTCATTACGTGCTAAAGGCTTTGTTGCAAGAGTGAGAGCAAAAAGCAAGTAAACAAGTTATATTATTCAATACCAATCATGGATTTTTTTCACAAGAATGTTCCTTATAATCCAACTGTTGTAATATATTAGTGAGTTCGTGGAAAACATTTTCTAATGAAGGAATTTTATGAAGATATAATAACATTGCCATCCTAACTGTACTTGGTATAGACAGTGATTTTTGAAATTTACTCCTTGCAATAGAAATTCCCTCCAATTTCTTTTCCCAAATAAATTCATACACAGAACCTCAAATACATAAACTATTATCATCTGAGGCAGCTACATTGGAACTAATTTGAAAAGCCCTGGTATACCACAGTAATTTCTCTTATACTTTTGAAATACATAATGAAATTGAATACATGTTTTCTGCTAAACTACACAGGAAATAAACTCATCCTTCTGGAATGACAATGAATAAATACTACTTAGGTTTAGCCCGTGGGATACTCTTGCATTAATCCAGATATATAGGTCAGAATAGAAGATAATATAATTTGCTGGAATATAAAGAGTATAGTGATAGCTTCCTTTGATTTTGGCAGTGCTCCAGAAATATTCCTTTTATTTATTTAAGCTTGGAAAGAGGAGGGAATGGGAACATAAGATCCAGTATGGAGTAATGGAAAGATGATTGGATTTGAAGTCTCCAAAAATCTGGAATGGAACTTATTATTTGTAGCCTTGCCAAGCCACAAAGGTTTCGTTTTAATTTCCACATCTGTAAAATAAGGATCCCATCACCTAACTTATTTGTGATCAAATTTTAAAAATATGAAAATACTTCATAAACTGCAAAACATCATGCAGAGGTGAATTATTAACGAGGTAGAGTCGCTAGTCATTATTTTTTAAATCCTGTACTATCACACATATATTTAATAAGGTCAGTTTGAAGAAGACAAATTTTAATTGAATATCTGCTTAAGAAAACTGATCACTTTTTGTAAACAACCTGACAAATGAAAAAGTTTACATAACCTATACAGTTAAAAACCCAGAATTGTAGTTATGCAGGTTCATAATTTTCTCCAACCTTTCACCCAGTCAGTACAACAGAAGCATAGATTCACACTCTTGAATATAGGACTGTGCAGTGTCTCTTACAGAGAGCGAGGCACAGCTTTCTGACCAATGAAATGAATATAGAAGAAGTGACAGTATACCATTCTAAGCAGAGGCTTTTAAAGGCATGGCAAATTTCCCCAATTCTCTTGAATTTCCACCATCCAGCATCAGAAGAACTTGGCCTGTAAAGCCATTAATCCTTCAGTCTGGAACATGGAGTCATGAGGAGATGTTATCCCCATCCACAGCCTAGATTCCAGTGAATAAGGTCACCCATAAACATGAAACAGATTTTGGAGCTGTTTGTTATGTAGCATTACTGTAGCAAAAACTTGACTCATATGCTAAGCATAACATAATTTTGATAGATCAAGGAAATCTTACTGCTTTTAAAAATTATGGCCTCATGAATAGGGACTATGAAAGGAATCCAGCATTGGGATTTTTGAAAAATAGCTGGTAGGTCTGGAAAAGGTATTTCTGAAAAATCATTGAAAGGTTTCATAAAGTTTCAGTGATAAATATATTGACTCAAGGGACAACAACTTTGGGTTAATTAAGACAATTACCAGTTGTAAAATAAAATTGGGCATGCTGAGATTATCCTCATTTATTTTAGTTATTTTAGGTGAAGTTCTTCAAGGAAATTCAATTAAAATGAATACCTACATAGTTAAACAAATGGCATTGAATAATCAATGATTACATAAATGCCATTAAATGCTACTGGGTTCAGAAATCTATGAATTTACTTAAAAATATTTAGTAATTACTCTGTATATAGCAACTTTTAATTTTCAGTCCAAATAAATGATGATGGTATACTTTTTTTATATATAGGAAAAGCGATTCTGAAAAATCACCTGGAGGCCAGACTTCTCCCTCTGTCCAGGTTGTCCTTTCAGGTCATAAAAATTAAATAAGCACTACAACAAAACACATTCATTTTATCTCTCAAACAAAATTTGACAATGATTCAGATATTCATCTCTAAAATAAGTTGTCTCTCATTTTGAAACTTTAATACATGAAGGTATAAGCTCAAAAAGGGTCAAAATATGTACCTTATACAACTAACCTTATTAATAAAAGGCAATGTCATATATGAAACTGGTAGTAAATGAATGATAAAAATCAACCTTTCCACCATATATACATATTCTTGTGGTCAAAGTCTGGCTCCAATCATTCACCTGATTTATCTGGGAAAGATAACAGTCTTTGAAATTAGACAGCCTTGTAGTGAACCACGTCTTTCCACATACTATTGATAGATGTAGCCTTGGGCTAGTCACTTTCTCTGAGCTTCAATTTCCTCACTGTACAATGAGGATAATAATAATTCCATCTTAAGGCTGTAGTAAAAATTAAGAACATACGCAAAACACAGAAGTCCAGTAGATGTTACTTTCATTTTCTTTTAACTAATCACACTTCTTTTTAATGTTTTTATTCTCTTCAGTACCCTCAAGCCACAGAAAATAAATTTGGAGTTCCTAAAGATAAAGTTCAATGAAAAGTGAAAAAGGAGAATACTGAAACTAGATTTTTCATTAAGGTCATGAAAACTGATTATAACTTTGTTAAAAGATACATAACAGTAGGGAATATAATTAAAAAATAATTTTTCATTATGAAACTACATATTAACTATATTGAAAGTACAAAGGAGAAAAGAAAAACTATTCATAATCCCATCATCCAGAGATAACGATTAATAGTTTGCAATATATCCTTCCAGTTTATATTCTATACCTTTTAAAAAATTAGGATCAGCTGATTTTTTAAAGATCAATAAAATGATAAACCTCTAGCCTGGCTAACCAGGAAAAAAAGAGGAAATATCAGAAATGAAAGATGGGCCATCACTACCGATCCTATGAACATTAAAAGAGTAACAAAAGAATATTATGGACAACATTAGTTTCCCACAGATTTGGATAAAATGGACAAATTTCTTGAAAGACACAATCTACCAAATCTCACACACAAAAAAATATGTAACCTCAACAGGCATTTATCAAAGAAATCAAATCAATAATTAATAGCCTTCCAAAACAGAAAGCACCAGCCCAAATGGTTTCTCTATAATCTGTTCCAGAATACAGAAGCAGAGGAAATATTTCCTAACTCATTCTTGACGCCAAAACCTGTCTGAACAGACACCTCACCCAAGACGATATGCAGATAGTAAACAGGCATATGAAAAGGTGCTCAATATTACATGCCATCAGAGACATGCAAATTACGACAAGATACCGCTACACACCTATTAAAATGGTTAAAGTCCAAAACACTGACAACATGAAATGCTGGTGAGGATGTAGAGCAAAAGGAACCTAAATTCACTGCTGGTGGGAACACAAAATAGTACAGTCACTCTTGAAGATAGTCTGCTTCTTACAAAGCTAAACAGAGTCTCTCCTTTCCAAAGGATCCAGCAATGGTGCTCCTACGTATTTAACCAAATGAGTTGAAAATGTATGTTCACACAAAAACTTGCACACATATGTTTATAGCAGGTTTATTCATAATTGCCAAACCTAGGAAGTGACCAGGTCTTTCAAATAGGTGAACAAACTGTAGTCCAACCGTATAAGGCAGTTTTATTGTTTTATTACACTTTGCTTTACTGCACTTTGCAGATATTGCATTTTTTTACAAATTGAAGGTTTGTGGCAACACTGTGCTGAGCAAGTCTATCAATGCCATTTTTCCAACAGCGTTTATTCACTTTGTGTCTCTGTGTCACACATTTTGGTAATTCTCACAACATTTCAAACTTTTTCATTATTATATTTGCTATGGTGATCTGTGATCAGTGATCTTTGACATTACTATTATAACTGCTTTGGGGTCCAAGAACTGTGCCGATATAAGTTGTCAAACTTAATGTTCTATGTGTGTTCTTTTTTTTATTGAAGTAGGGTTGATTTACAATGTTGTGTCAATTTCTGCTGTACAGCAAAGTGGTTCAGTTACACATATTTATATTCTTTTTAAGATTCTTTTCCATTATGGTTTATCACAAGATACTGAATATAGTTCCCTGGGCTATACAATAGGACCTTGTTGTTTATCCATTCTATATATAGTGGTTTGCATCTGCTAACCCCAAACTCCCAATCCCTCCCTCCCCCACCCACTCCCTCTTGGCAACCACAAGTCTGTTCCCTATGTCTGTGAGTATGTTTCTATTTCACAGATAAGTTCATTTGTGTCATATTTTAGATTCCACATATAAGTGATATCATATGGTATTTGTCTTTCCCTTTCTGACTTCACTTAGTACGATAATCTCTAAGTCCATCCATGTTGCTGCAAATAGTATTATTTCATTCTTTTTTATGGTTGAGTAATATTCCGTTGTGTATATATACCACATCTTCTTTATCCATTCATC